ATTTTTTTTTTTTTTCCCCTGCAATTTTTTTTTTTTTTTTTTTTGACCCCAAATCCCGGGGGGGGCAGCTGCCCCCCCTCCCCCCCCCCCCCCCGGAGGCTACGGCCCTGTGTTTTTTTAAATAAAGCAAACGTTTATTATTTATTTAATACTAATGTACCTCTATATCTATTTATTCGTGTCATTTCTCGGTATAAACTATATAAGACATGTATTACCAAATAGTATTTGCACGATCTTTTCTGATTGGTAACTTGCAGGTAAAACTGTTCACTGTATAACTCACTCTGATTGGCCCACGTGAACATAGCTGAACCTGTATATAAGAGGGTTACATAAAATGAATCGTTCTCTTTTCCATTCTGACAGAAAACTATCCGGTGAGTGCTTAGAGATATTCACAGTCATTGCGTAAAGTATTTCGATGCATTTGCCCACGACCGCGTCACTGAATTAGCGAGAATTTCTGCAGAGAACTGACGTCAATACCCAGCTGGACATTGGTGTAGAAAGTTGCCCATGATAAAGTATTGGCAGTAAGCCTATGTGGTCTGAATATTTGCCTCAGTTTTCAACCTTACCTTGTTCTGGTAAGGCCGAAACCTGAGGCAACCTAAATATAACGGTGGTCAGACTGTGCTCGGACAGGCCTGGGCAAAATAAGTTTTTTTTAGACGTGCAGTGTTTTAGAAATGCAGTGTTTTCAAGTATATTTATTGACGGCTAGATAGTAACGAAACAACAACTCCGCATGTACTCTCAATGCTATATGTATTTACTACCTTCTCCATAAGNTGAAGGCTACCGGCCCTGTGATTTTTTTTTAATAAAGCAAACGTTTATTATTTATTTAATACTAATATACCTCTATATCTATTTATTCGTGTCATTTCTCGGTATAAACTATATAGGACATGTATTACCAAAATGGTATTTGCACGATCTTTTCTGATTGGTAACTTGCAGGTAAAACTGTTCACTGTATAACTCACTCTGATTGGCCCACGTGAACATAGCTGAACCTGTATATAAGAGGGTTACATAAAATGAATCGTTCTCTTTTCCATTCTGACAGAAAACTATCCGGTGAGTGCTTAGAGATATTCACAGTCATTGCGTAAATTATTTCGATGCTTTTGCCCACTACCACGTCACTGAATTAGCCAGAATTTCTGCATAGAACTGATGTCAACACCCAGCTGGACTTTGGTGTAGAGAGTAGCCCATAATAAAGTATTGGCACGAGGCAAAGTGGTTTGAATATTTGCCTCAGTTTTCAACCTTACCTTGTTCTGGTAAGGCCGAAACCTGAGGCAACCTAAATATAACGGTGGTCGGACTGTGCTCGGGCAGGACTGGGCAAAATAAGTTGTTTTTAGACGAAATGCAGTGTTTTCAAGTATATTTATTGACGGCTAGATAGTAACGAAACAACAACTCCGCATGTACTCTCAATGCTATATGTATTTACTACCTTCTCCATAAGTGCAGCTAGGGCTACGTTTCATTGTTCATACCTTTTAAATAGAGTACTCTTCGGTGGTATTCAATACGTGTAATTTATGTTGCCAGTACTGAAATATACACATTAAACTGTGCGGGTACCTGTCTGAGTAGGTCACTGTAATCACACTGGGCTGTCACCTTGATTGGTTAGAAAAGGATTGAAATATGCTTAAGATTGAGGCAGTTGACACCGGGTTATTTTAATAACCCGGTTATTTAAAAAATGCATATTAAGCGAGTGCCTGAATTATTGCCTTTAAACTCTACAAGCAAGACAACCCGAAAATACCACATGCTTTCATTTCATTATTTCCAAAAAATGATATTTGAACATGCTTACACAAGTATATTTGAATAATGTTTTCTCTCACAGTGATGAGATCTCTAGACTACCGTAAGTCTTTCTTAGGACATACATGTACATGTACCTAGACTAAGACACAACACGCGAGGTTTTTTTACACTTGAAAATCAAATAAATCTTGGATACATTTTTCAGATAATTTTACATGGCGAATAGAAAGCGCCCCAGTGGATTTGCACAAAATTTAGACTTGGTGCTGTCGGAAATCGATCTTTCCATCCGGGAAAACACGGACACGTTGCAGGATAGCTTAGAGTCAGAAGAGGAATGCGACAGAAACAAAGAGAGCACATCGACTTCGTCCAACTCTTCCAGCAACGGCGACACGGATAGAAAGGGGGTCGGTCAGTGGAAAAAATGGCCTTTTAAGTTAAAAAAAGAGCCCAAAAAAAGAAAAAGAAATAAAGATGTCGAGGCGGCGGAACTGGGAGAAATGAGGCTGACACGTGTGCAAACCAGATATAAGGCGAGACTGGCTCCATCACGAGATGTTAAAGTCACACAGGACAGTGAGAACAAAATCAGCTGCCCGAGCGTTGCTGAGGGACAGGGGACTAACCAGTTACCAAACGAAAACACTGCTATAAGCAATTTCCATAATATTGACTTTGCAGACACTGACGCTTCAAAACCGAGAGTCAACGGTCACATTCCAACCGCGAAATCGTCGAATTTGCCCAACTTTGACATAGGGAATAACCCGTCAGATTCCCCTTTGCAGTCCCCAGGACATGACAACGCCAGTGCCTCTCTTCTGTCACGATCTACCAACGCCAGCCCCACGAGTAGTACAGGCCGCGAACGGGGAGACACAAACGGTACGCCACACCCTTCCTCCCCTCATAATGACACAGCAGAAATGGCCAACGGAACCATCCCAGCCTCGACTTCAAAACCAACTCCTGCTCTTCCCCATGCCCCTCCATTATCGTCACCACCACCACCACCACCACCACCGCCACCGCCACCACCACCACCACCTCCGCCGTCAACACCATCTAGCCAAGACTGGTCACAGACTTCAAACGACCATACCGCGACGTCGAAGCCCTCAGATCAGCCCTCGGCGGAAAAGAACGTGGACGTGCCGGACTATCCCCTACTCACCAACACCACTTTTCATAGTGGGTTACCCAAGGATATATCCGCCACTCTTTGTCACGGGGAGACGTACTGCAATATAGAACCAGGGTTTCACTATGCCAGAGATATAAAGAAAGGGAGTAAGTAGGTTATTACCAATATGATGGTCAAGCTTCGTTTTATTTCAGTTTTCTATAACCATCTATAGGTACGCGTGCAATTCTAATTATCTCTCTCTCTCTCTCTCTCTCTCTCTCTCTCTCTCTCTCTCTCTCTCTTGCTCTCTGACTACCTAATATATTGTTCCTTCCTTTAAATCCATACGGGTCTTATAAGGCATTTTCATTTTGTGTGCTTTTTGTGCTTTTCTCGGTCCATCTTCTTGTCAGGTGACTCGGGTTGCACAGTATAAGTCTGTTTTGATGTAGAATAATTGAACGCTAAATACTATAAGCAACCCTCTGTATATTAATTTTATATATGCGTCCTCGATTGCTGCACGAGCGGCCCCCCAAGGCTAAAAACAACATCATATATTTCAGGATTTGCCCTCTGCTGTGACTGTGCTTCGTCCTCAAGTTCTGAAGATGAAGGACCACAGCAACCTCCCCACCACTCTGTAGAGGGCAAGCCATTGGCAGCAATGATCAGCAGAGAAACCCTTCGGAGGGCGATAGTCGACGGGACTAACATGGACGAGATCAAGCGAGCACTAAAGCAGTGGTTATCCTTCTCAGAGAAGGATGTTAACTACATGTACAACCCAATGCTACAGGCAGCGATAAAAAACGATTTCCAGGTTTGCCTATTACTGAAGGAGGAGGCGCAGTTGAAAATCGCCGACCCTCACGATTATTTCTGCAACTGTTATCTCGACCGAAGCGACACGCTGAATCACGCGCTTTATCGTGTGAACGCGTATAGGGCTATGACGTCATCGGCCTATCTTCTCACGCAGGAAAACCCTGTAAAGACGGCTCTGGAGCTGAGGAAAAAGCTTTTCACCATGGCAGAACAGGATAAAGAATTCAAGGTACTTTGTGAAATAAATGGTTAAGGATGAATCATTAAATGCAAATTAAAGTAGATGAATGTGGATTTGTGAAATTATTTAATAATGTCGGATAGTAAAGATACATGGAACCTTTTGCTAGTTTAAATATAATCTGTAGTATTTGTTTCAAATACCGACCAAATACCACGATATACCGGGGGTAGTTTCAAATGCATGTTGTATAACTTGTAGCATCCTTTCATTTGACCATTAAAATGAGATTTGAACGGACAGCATCTGCTTACTTGCTGTGCTGTATATAAGCACGTAAGACTCGGATATATATATTTGTCAGTTTACAACCAAACATTTGAAAAAAAAACGTTTTAAAGCTCTTCTATGGCTGGTTGAGTGATTAACTCGGTTCATCCTTTGTCATGACAATCATATTGAGTCTTGTAGAAAACTAGTGAAAATGGGTTACCAATACATGTAAATGAGTACTGGAAATCCACGCTCGCATGATATGCATTGCTGTGTGTGGGTATCAAAATGATGTGTCATGCGTGAATCGGAGGGCTTTCTGATGTCTCAAAACGCTAATCTTCAAGTGATAAAGAGANATTTTGGGGTCCCCAGAGGATGTCATCCATAAAAATAAAAAAGTGTGGCCTAAGTGCAGCTAGGGCTACGTTTCATTGTTCATACCTTTTAAATAGAGTACTCTTCGGTGGTATTCAATACGTGTAATTTGTGTCCAGTACTGAAATATACACATTAAACTGTGCGGGTACCTGTCTGAGTAGGTCACTGTAATCACACTGGGCTGTCACCTTGATTGGTTAGAAAAGGATTGAAATATGCTTAAGATTGAGGCAGTTGACACCGGGTTATTAAAATGCATATTAAGCGAGTGCCTGAATTATTGCCGTTAAACTCTACAAGCAAGACAACCCGAAAATACCACATGCTTTCATTTCATTATTTCCAAAAAATGATATTTGAACATGCTTACACAAGTATATTTGAATAATGTTTTCTCTCACAGTGATGAGATCTCTAGACTACCGTAAGTCTTTCTTAGGACATACATGTACATGTACCTAGACTAAGACACAACACGCGAGGTTTTTTAACACTTGATAATCAAATAAATCTAGGATACATTTTTCAGATATTTTACATGGCGAATAGAAAGCGCCCCAGTGGCTTTGCACAAAATTTAGACCTGGTGCTGTCGGAAATCGATTGTTCCATCCGGGAAAACACGGACACGTTGCAGCAGAGCTCAGAGTCAGAAGAGGAATGCGACAGAAACAAAGAGAGCACATCGACTTCGTCCAACTCTTCCAGCAACGGCGACTCGGATAGAAAGGAGGTCGGCCAGTGGAAAAAATGGCCTTTTAAGTTAAAAAAAGAGCCCAAAAAGAGAAAAAGAAATAAAGATGTCGAGGCGGTGGAACTGGGAGAAATGAGGCTGACACGTGTGCAAACCAGATATAAGGCGAGACTGGCTCCATCACGAGATGTTAAAGTCACACAGGACAGTGAGAACAAAATCAGCTGCCCTATCGTTGCAGAGGGACAGGGGACTAACCAGCCACCAAACGAAAACGCTGCTATAAGCAATTTCCATAATATTTACTTTGCAGACACCGACGCTCCAAAACCGAGAGTCAACGGTCACATTCCAACCGCGAAATCGTCGAATTTGCCCAACTTTGACATAGGGAATGACCCGTCAGATTCCCCTTTGCAGTCTCCAGGACATGAAAACGCCAGTGCCTCTCTTCTGTCACCATCTAACAATGCCAGCCTCAGCAGCAGTAGTATAGGAAGCGGACGGGGAGACGCAGACGGTACGCCACACCCTTCCTCTCCTCGTGATGACACAGCAAAAATGGCCAACGGAACCACCCCTGCCTCGACTTCAAAACCAACTTCTGCTCTTAACCATGCCCCTCCATCACCGTCACAAACACCACCACCGCCACCGCCGCCGCCGCCACCACCATCTAGCCAAGGCCGGTTACAGAGTTCAAACAACCAGACTGCAACGTCGAAGCCCTCAGACCAGCCCTCGGCGGAAGAGAACGTGGACGAGCCAGACTATATCCCACTCACCAACACCGCTCCTCAGAGTAGGTTACCCAAGGACATATCCGCCACTCTTAGCAACGGGGGGACGTACGGCAATATAGAACCAGGACATCACTATCCCAGAGAGATAAAGGAAGAGAGTAAGTAAGGTTATTACCAATATGATGGTCAAGTTTCGTTTTATTTCAGTTTTCGATAACCATCTACAGGTACACGTGCAATTCAAAAACTCTTTCTCTCTTTCTCTCTCTTGCTCTCTGTCAAATTAATATATTGTCCCTTCGTTTAAGTCCAAACGGGTCTTCATAAGGCATTTTCACTTTGTGTGCATTTTGTGCTTTAATCGGCCTAAATTCCAGTCAGGTGACTCGGGTTGCAAAGAAAAGCCCGCTTTGATGTAGAATAAGTGAACACCAAATACACTAAATTGAACACCATATACCAAATACCAAGCATCCCTCTGTAACTTAATTTTATATGCGTCCTCGTTTGCTGCACAAACGACTCTCCAAAGCTAAAAACAACAACATTCATTTCAGGATTTGCCCTCTGTTGTGGCTGTGCTTCGTCCTCAAGTGCTGATGGTGAAGGATCGCTGCAACCTTTCCACCAGCCTGTAGCGGGCAAATCGTTGGCGGCAATGATCAGTAGAGAAACCCTTCGGAGGGCGATAGTCGACGGGACGAACATGGACGAGATCAAGCGAGCACTAAAGCAGTGGTTATCTTTCTCAGAGAAGGATGTTAACTACAACCCAATGCTACAGGCAGCGATAAAAAACGACTTCCAAGTTTGCCTATTACTGAAGGAGGAGGCGCAGTTGAAAATCGCCGACCCTCACGATTATTTCTGCAACTGTTATCTCGACCGAAGCGACACGCTGAATCACGCGCTTTATCGTGTGAACGCGTATAGGGCTATGACGTCATCTGCCTATCTTCTCACGCAGGAAAACCCTGTAAAGACGGCTCTGGAGCTGAGGAAAAAGCTTTTCACCATGGCGGAACAGGATAAAGAATTCAAGGTACTTTGTGAAATAAATGGTTAAGAATGAATGATTAAAATGCATATTAAAGGAGAGGAATGTGGCTTTGTGAAATTATTTAATAATGGCGGATAGTAAAGATACATGGAACCGTTTGCTAGTTTAAAGATAATTTGTAGTATTTGTTTCAAATACCGACCAAATACCACGATATACCGGGGGTAGTTTCAAATGCTTGTTGTATAACTTGTAGAAATACCAAGTGGCATCCTTTCATTTGACCATTAAAATGAGATTTGAACGGATAGCATCTGCTTACTTGCTGTATAGAAGCACGTAAGACTCGGATATATTTGTCAGTTTACGACCAAACATTTGAAAAAAAAGTGCGGTTTTAAAGCTCTTCTATGGCTGGTTGAGTGATTAACTCGGTTCATCCTTTGTCTTGACAATCATATTTGAGTCTTGTAGGAAACTAGTGAAAATGGGTTACCAATACATGTAAATGAGTACTGGAAATCCACGCTCGCATGATATGCATTGCTGTATGTGGGTATCAAAATTATGTGTCATGCGGGAATCGGAGGGCTTTCTGAGGTTTCAAAGCGCTAATCTTTAAATGATAAAGATAAGTAGGTGAACTTCAAATTGGTAAAATGTGATCACGCGCACATGCACTCACGCCTCCTTCCGTCTTACACACAGAAACGGAGTTTGTGTTTGGCAGTCGTGACCATAACTTATTCTGTGTCACTATGATTATGCAAATTTTTCCCTTTCACACAGTCAGAATACCTTGAACTGACCAAGAAATGCGAGATGTTTGCCTGGGAGATGCTGGACCTGGTCCGAGGGCGAGATGAGCTGTCCTTGCTCCTGGATAAATCAGCCAATGGGTGTTCAGAATTAGCGTTAGTGCGGGAAGTTATGGATGAAGGACCCAAGAAGGTACAATGTAGGATGAGCTATAGTCACGATTATAGCTTTTCCCCACCAAAAAATAAATTGCCACTTGCATAATGCGTTGCATTGTCTATCATAGTAGTAACTCGAGTCAGTCTGAAGAAGGCGTACTGGCTTACGTTCAGGTTGGCCGCAAGCTAAACTTCTTTTCGTTTTGTGTTAAATAACTGTCATACATGATCCAACTTCTGAGCTTATGAACTTTTTCGCTTATTTATGAGAATAAACAAGCTAGCAACTGTAAAGGCAGTTGAGTACAAAGTCACTTCTTTAAAACCGTATTTCAGATTGTAGCCCACCCATACGTCCAAAGGCACTTAAGTATGCAGTTTTATGGCATGGATCCGAATATAAACCGCCGAATGCGGACCACACACAATTTTCTGAAGACGATCTTAATCGTGCTGGCGTTGCCAATTTGGATTATGCTGTTCCTGATTTACATTCTGTTCGGGGCCTTTGACACATTGGAGAAAAAGGTATGTTTGACTGATTGATTTTCATATATTTGGTCGAGAAATGCTTTAATAATTCCTTTTGATCTTTAACATCGAACAGTGTACTCAAGGCATATATTATCTACCGTAACAGTAGCAATAAAAGCTAACTTAAAAAGGCTCCGAAATTTAATTGCCAGCCCCGTGTAGGGATGGCACGTGTGGTAGGTCTGGAGGTCATTAGGGGTCGTACGGCCTTGCTTCAAAGTGGGGTCAGCCATATTTGACATGGAAGCTAACTACATGTTGTTAAAGCACATTGAGAACAGCGGATTAACTCATCGGCGGATCAAATAAGGCGACCCATTCAAAAACTAGAGACTAAATAGGTTCCCGGCGGGGATTACGCAACAAGCATTCAAGTGGGTCGGTCATATTTGTTCCGCAGATAAGTTAGTCCGCTGTTCTGAATACGCTCTATAGTCTGCGGATTATCTGTTCTGATTGCAGCTTAATTCTTTCTTTTTGTAGAGTAAACTTATCAAGTGGAACAACATGTTCTTGAAGACCCCTTGTGTCAAGTTCTACACTGGAAGTCTCTTCTATTTCACATTTCTTCTGATCCTGACCATGTACTTTTTTCCTCATGATAAAACGAACGTCGCCCATTCCACAGATTTCCGATGGTCCGAGTATGCAATATATATCTACGTAATAGGTAAGGTACAAATGCATTGAAAGTTATTCCAACAATTGGCAAGGTGTCAATATATCAATATGTACCAACTTTTTTCTATACAAAATTAAGGGTATTGTAACCCTTCATTATCATCCAGATATCGAAAATGTTTTTTTTCCCTGAATCTAATTATTCAATAATACATCTATCTCTGTGATGATTTGAAAAATTTATATTTTTTCTGTGAAATGTATAAGCATAGGAAACTCGAAGCATTAATTGTCAATTGAGCAAAATTATATTTTGATGTGAGATAGCAATCGGTAGAGGCGTAATTTCACCCCTGAACATGATTTTATCAAGAAATGTAACGGAATTGACCGTGAGTGTATGGGCTACAATCTCTACCCATCATATTGGTTTAAATGTTTTTGTTACAAAGTTATGAGCCCCAAATTACGGATTTACATTAAACAAAGTCATAATTTTGCTTTATCAACAATAAAATCTAAGACCCCATTCCCAGAGATTAGATCGATCCATCTAGATCGACCTAACTCCCTGGGGGTTCACGCTAAATAGCTGTCAGCCGAGCGGGCACGAAAGTAAATTACCCCCTTACAGCTTGTAGTATGAGGGACGGACATTTAAGCCGGATTATCTGATAATAATCTAGTTAGACTCCCCACGGGGATAGATCGATCTAAAATCTATGGGAATGCGCCCTAAATTAAGACTTTTAAGAAAAAGCGCTGGTGTCATTAAATCAGCGTTGCAACGGTGATCGAGGGTGCCCAGGTAAAAGAGAAATATGAAAAAGAGTTTTTATCCCAAAATCGCAATTATGACGTCGCCTGTAAGATGACATGTGTAATGTTAATTAATTTCGTCAATGGACGCTGAAGATATATCTATTACCCAAAATAATGTAAGACAGTAAATAGGGAATTTTGGGTGAAGGGTGACAATTTCCTTAGAATACATACATGATTGTATTAGTCTATCAAAGTGGTGCTAAAATTTCAACAATTAAAGTATGTTTAAAATTACTAATGCTTTCTTGCTATATACATTATGTCATGAGTAACCTCTGAATAAAAACCTCATATTTCTTTTAAGCGATCCTAACCTACACACTTGTGCCCATTGCATTTCTTTAATACAAGTATCGTAATAAAATATTTTATTTTATAGGTTATTTTGGGGCTGAGATGAAGCAGTTGCGTCGCCAGGGGATGCGTTACTTCCACAGCGCCTTCAACATTCTGGATATCCTCTTGATTTTCTTCTATTTTGCCTCGTTTGTCTGCCATATATTTTCAATTGTCAAGACAAGGCAAGCTGCACTTGGTGGTGACCGAAAAACAACAGAAGCGTACACATATTATTACAAGAAAGGTTGGTTGGGCTGAATTTATTCCATTATGCATGGCTCTAATTGTGTTATCTGCGCAGTACGTTTCAGCTTCGTCCACCCAAGACACTTTTAAGTGATAGTTAAGATCGATCTCTAGTCGATGCTCTTATTTTCCAGTAGTAGTAGTAGTAGTAGTAGTAGTATAGTAGTAGTAGTAGTAGTAGTTTTTAAACTGATCTATCTTGTATCACATTTAATAGTGTCAGTCTCTGATTTTTTTTTCTTTTTTTAATCTATGTTACTTGCTTCTAACATTCTATCCATAATTATATAAAATAGTGTATGTGTGTATCATTTTAGCCTTTGCTTTTTCAGGCCGGTTCGAATGGGAGCCAAATGACCCAGAAATAATATCAGATGCTCTGTTTGCGTTAGCGAACATCATTAGTTTCTCAAGACTGGTGTACATTTTACCGACTTTTGAGTCTGTCGGTCCACTTCTAGTTGTTTTGGGTAAGTGCACATGCCATGATTTAAGCAATAATGAGTTTGTTACAAATGAACCTACCTGTACATGCATAAACATGTGTACGATAAGCAATAGGGCAAATGAGGTCACGGTTTGATAAAATCGTATGCTTTTTTCTTTAAAGGCACATACAAACTGAGCATCGGTGGAGCTTGGATTCCCAGTAACGCATGTAGCCCGCGTCTACTAGTTTCTTATACGAATCAAATAAATTTGACATGCCAAGGGAATAAATCACTCGATCAGCCACAAAAGAGCTTTAGACTGCTCTTTTTTTTTTCAAATTTCGGTCGGAAATTTAACCTACTTCCGTGACCTACATTTCTGCCCCATTGACATACAGCATAGAATGCTAGCAGAAAAATCCGTTTAAACATCATTTTCAGGTAATATTAAACAATGCATTTGATAATTCTCTTACTTATAATACTTGAAACTATATGCTGGCATTTGGTTGGTTTTTGTGACAAAAAAGTTGATTCTGTATGCATCTTTAACTCTCGACAGTTGCTTATAATGTTGCGAAATTTTGAAATCAGATTCGCCTTGTGTCTGTCAATCTTTTTTCTCATTGTAGCGTAACTGATTAGTGCTCTAAATAAAACGTGGCTTGACAACTTTTAGGCAAGATGATCACAGATGTCTTTCGCTTTGCTGCTTTGCTGCTAATTGTGTTCATAGCCTTCACCGTTGGACTGCACAACCACTACCACTTCTATGCGGGCCAAACACTCCCAGATGGGTCGGAGACTAATTCTGCATTTTACGGGTAACTATTTACAATCACTATGCTTTCTAAATAGGTTCCCCCTAGTACTTATGGACAAAGCGCTCTCCGTATATTGGCTCATGAATTTCCTTTATTATTATTATTCTCTTAGGCATATGCATAGTATATTTGTAGAATCTTAAAATGTCATAATACTGGTGTAACGTGACAGAGACCCTATGATAGGAAGTCTGCTTCCCATTCACTTGTACAGGTGAGCCTCGCCTTAAATTTTGACCCACTTGGGTGAGACTATAACCCTAAATATTATAACCATATAGAGGGCGGACTTTCTGTTACACGGACCCTCAGTTGCGTTACACCAGCTGCTATTATTTCATTTTAACATTTGAGTTTAAAAACATTTTCAAGGTACCATTTTATGTTGAGAACAGTTGAATTAATGTGTGTGCCTATTATTGTTGTTATATTGTTATATTACCTGCAGAGCGCTGTCTAAGCTTAACTGTTGAAACCTGCTTATTTGTTCATAAAGCCCCACGCGTGTTTTTCCATGTTCTTCCCATTCACTTGTACAGGTTATATTGTTGTTATATTGTTATATTGCCTGCAGAGCGTTGTCTAAGCTTATAACTGTTGAAACCTGTTTATTTGTTCATAAAGCCCCGCGCGTGTTTTTCCAGGTTCTTCCCATTCACTTGTACAGGTTATATTGTTGTTATATTGTTATATTGCCTGCAGAGCGTTGCCTAAGCTTATAACTGTTGAAACCTGTTTATTTGTTCATAAAGCCCCACGCGTGTTTTTCCAGGTTCTTCAACACATTTCGCACACTGGTGTGGTCCATTTTTGGCTTGGGTGACTCCAGTTCCGTAAAAATCCACATGAAGCACGAGTTTGTGGAGATCGTGGGATTCATCATGGTGGCTATATTCCATATTGTCATCGTTATAATGCTGATGAATATGCTCATTGCCATGATGACAATCTCTTTTGAAGCTATTAATGTAAGTTATGAGATGTTGAAATGGATAAATGGATATTGTCTAATAGATTCGATTTAATAATAATAATAATAATAATAATAATAATAATAATAATAATAATAAATGAAACGGAGCAGTAAAATACGGTATATAATCCCTGTAACTAAAATTATGATAAAAGAAGTACTATCAATTTTTTGGGTAAAACGGCCTCTATTGAAGCCATCAATGTAAGTTATGGATGTTGAGTAGAATATTTATATATAATGCATTTTGCCTGATAAAATATTCCAATAAACATAATAATAATAATAATAATAATAATAATAACTTGGAACAGTTCACATATTGCGATAAGTGCTGTGTTTCTAAATTGCAGGGGTAGCTGACAGAAAAGACCCAAAAGAACATCCAAGAGCTGGATAGATTCACATAATAATAATAATAATAATAATAACAATAATAATAATAATAATAATAGTTAACCAAGAGGAACAGTATTATACATTATCTCCGTAATTAAAGCACCAACTTCCTGCTTCCTACACCAAACATGCTGTAATTCCTTAATTCTATATCTTTACAGGACGACGCAGACATCGAATGGAAGGTTGCCAGGACAAGGTTATGGTTAGAGTATATAGGGGAAGGATCTACTCTCCCCATCCCCTTTAACTTAATCCCCAGCCCCAAATGGTTGTTTTTTCTTTTTATCAGAAAGAAATGCAAGGGACCCAGTGAAAAGGTGCTTTATGACTTTAATCAATTTAAAATGATTGAAAATAAATAAAGATAATGCTATTTGAAAGGGGCGGTGTTCTATCTCGAATCATACACATGGCTTTTACTGTCATATCAAGGTAAATATATAGTAATTTTTCTTCACTCACGGCTAATATATTGACGGCTAGTACTACCCCCAATATTTCGATTTCCTTCAGAATATCGGCATGGAGGCTATACCCAGTCAAATAGCAACTATTAATCCCCCCCTCACGTACTGTCTTAAGAAAGCCAGGCATAGATCGGGGAGAATGGAACCATTATATCTGTTGAGACTGACCCGTGTCTTCTGCATATGGCTTCCAGGACTTGCCTGCATGTTCTCCAGGTTCACTGTCAATTAGCCGAGGCCATTGTTTATATTTTAAGGCATTCAAACATCTTTTTGCTTCAGAAAATTAATGGAAAGGATAAAAAACGGCGCCACTTCGACATTAGATATCGGGCCCTCATGGCTAAGCTCATAGCAAGGTACAGCAAGAAAGCAGCAGAGGGAGAGAAAAAAATTATTTGACACCAACACAGACGGAGGGACCAACAGGTACTCGTGAAAGAAAATATCGAATTGGGAATGAGTTTCTTTCTGCATAAAACCATCATGTCCCTGATTGTACGGGTGCTCTCTGGCATATTACACGTTTCATGTTATACACAATACGCAGTATTGCAATTGTGTAAACTACTGTTACTTAATTTTCTTTCAAAATGGACTAGAATTTCGTTCTGAAAGCCAACTCCAACTTTTTGGTCGAAAGTTTTGTTGTAACATAGTTTCAAACTCATTCTTACTGTACAGTGTAGCCATTTATCGTAAAGTAAGGATATATTATCTTGTGTAACTGACCTCTACCATTTCTACCCATTTTTCTTTCAGCCAATGGAAGAGCGGGTTGAAGAAGACTCTACGTCTTTTATGATCAAAGTTTATGCTCTGTAGTCTTGATATTTAGCAACTTGTAGTATTTACATTATGGTAATTGCTTTTAAGAATTGCGTTTATATCATTTATGGATTATGGTCCAGTTTGGTTTAGAATTAGATAAAGTAATTTTAATTTAAGTTTAACTCTTTGTGAATGTGCTCCTTGTGAAAGATTTTTTAGCTGTTTATGCAGCGATACCATTGTACATTATCCATCGATAACACTCGCTCCTATTGTAAGCATGCGTTTTTCATGCTTTTACTTTATTGGCTGGTGTATTTTAGTGTATTCATAGTATTGGTTCGAGTAAATATCTGCGTCTCATATATCGATGAAAAAAGAGAAAAAAGACAAAAGCACAACAACTGAATGTGGAACTGCTTTTTAAGTTTTTGAAGAAAGTTTCTACATGATGAACATTTTGAAACTGTATGCCTATACTTTTTAGATTTCAGGTGCACCATATGTTACTTTTAATCAGGTGTCCAACGCAGTGATACCGTTACACTTGTGGGAGTGGACAGCAATTTGATCTCTAAGTGACCACAATCCCACAAGGGCTTCAAATGACATAATTCGGCCCGTTGTACGGATGGGGATTTACAAATTTTATACAACATATACATTGATTTATATTTTGTTTTAAACTGAATAAAAAATGTTAATTTTTTACCCTGTTTGTTTGTTAGTAAACACCATGTTATTGCTGTTTTATTCTGTAACTGCCTTTCCTGTACTTAACTTTAATTAAAAATATGAACATTAATTAATTTTAATATTAAAATATGAACAGTTGTGCAATTTTACTCAATCACTGGTGGATCAACGTTGGTTGAGGAACTAACACTTTTTTCACCGCATATGGTTATCATTAGAACGCGCTTACTGAAGGAATAGTGAAATATAGTGAAAGATCTCTGACGGGAAAAATGCAAAAGGCTTTTACGTTTCATAAAGATGAGAAGTGGCCATCTGTTTCAATAACAAGTGGGCAGATGATATCTGATATGTGAAAACACTAAAAACTATTCAAAATGAACAGCTTTACAAAGTAAGATTGAAAAAAAAATCATTAGATTTTTTATATAAATATTGTGTAATTCCTTTGCATGGTAGACATTTACAATAGGCAATTTCTTATGTCGAACAATAGCATTTATAATCTCTCTTACATTTCTAAATAAGAGAATTAACTTACTTTTCCCCGACCCACACTTTATCTGGCACGGGTGAGTGGCGGTATATCGTAGGTTCTTGGTCAGAAGGTTTATTTAAAAAAGGCTCAAATTTAAAAAATGTTACATATATATACAAATCCCGATGGTTCTATTCGTTGAACATAANGGGTTGTTATAGGTGAGATTCGTCACATATCTGTGGGTTGGGATAGTTGAGATTCCTCACACATTTGCGGGTTGTGATAGGTGAGATTCCTCACACATCTGTGGATTGTGATAGGTGAGATTCTTCACACATCTGTGGATTTTGATAGGTGACATTCTTCACACATCTGTGGATTGTGATAGGTAAGATTCTTCAAATATCTGTGGATTGTGATAGGTGAGATTATTCACACATATGTGGATTGTGATAGGTGAGATTCCTCACACATCTGTGGATTGTGATAGGTGAGATTCCTCACACATCTTTGGATTGTGATAGGTGAGATTCTTCACACATCTGTGGATTGTGATAGGTGAGATACCTCAAACATGTGTGGGATGTGATATGTGAGATTCCTCACACATGTGTGGGTTGTGATATGTGAGATTCCTCATACATGTGTGGGTTGTGACAGGTGAGATTCCTCACACATTTGCGGGTTGTGATATGTGAGATTCCTCACACGTGTGGGTTGTAATATGTGAGATTCCTCAGCCATCTGTGGGGTTTCTCACACATCTGTGGGTTGTTATAGGTGAGATTCGTCACATATCTGTGGGTTGGGATAGTTGAGATTCCTCACACATTTGCGGGTTGTGATAGGTGAGATTCCTCACACATCTGTGGATTGTGATAGGTGAGATTCTTCACACATCTGTGGATTTTGATAGGTGACATTCTTCACACATCTGTGGATTGTGATAGGTAAGATTCTTCAAATATCTGTGGATTGTGATAGGTGAGATTATTCACACATATGTGGATTGTGATAGGTGAGATTCCTCACACATCTGTGGATTGTGATAGGTGAGATTCCTCACACATCTTTGGATTGTGATAGGTGAGATTCTTCACACATCTGTGGATTGTGATAGGTGAGATACCTCAAACATGTGTGGGATGTGATATGTGAGATTCCTCACACATGTGTGGGTTGTGATATGTGAGATTCCTCATACATGTGTGGGTTGTGACAGGTGAGATTCCTCACACATTTGCGGGTTGTGATATGTGAGATTCCTCACACGTGTGGGTTGTAATATTTGAGATTCCTCAGCCATCTGTGGGGTTTGATATGTGAGATTCCTCACACGTGTGGGTTGAGATAGGTGAGATTCCTCACACATGTGTGGGTTGAGATAGGTGAGATTCCTCACACATCTGATGGTTGTTATAGGTGAGATACCTCACACATCTGTGGGTTGTGTTAGGTGAGATTCCTCACACATGTGAAGGTTGTGATAGGTGAGATTCTTCACACATGTGTGGGTTATTATAGTTGAGATTCCTCACACATCTGTGGGTTGTTATAGGTGAGATTCGTCACATATCTGTGGGTTGTGATAGTTGAGATTCCTCACACATTTGCAGGTTGTGATATGTGAGATTCCTCACACATCTGTGGGTTGTGATAGGTGAGATTCCTCACACATGCGTGGGTTGTTATAGGTGAGATTCCTCACATATCTGTGGGTTGTGATACGTGAGATTCCTCACACATCTGTGGGTTGTGATAGGTAAGATTCCTCACACATCTGTGGGCAGTGATAGGTGAGATTCCTCACATATCTGTGGATTATCATTTGTAGATTATCGTCCAATTTGGTTTAGATAACGTAATTTTAAATTATTTTTATCTTTTCGTGAATATGTTCCTTGTGAGGGAAATTTTAGTTGTTTATGTAGCGATACCATTGTATATTATTTGTCGATAATGCACGTTCCTATTATTAACATGCTTTTATGCTTTTACTTTATTGGCTGGAGTATTTTAGTGTATTCTTCACACATCTGTGGATTATCATTTGTAGATTATCGTCCAGTTTGGTTTAGATAACGTAATTTTAATTTATTTTTTATCTTTTCGTGAATATGCTCCTTGTGAGGGAAATTTTAGTTGTTTATGTAGCGATACCACTGTATATTATTTGTCGATAACGCACGTTCCTATTGTTAACATGCTTTTATGCTTTAACTTTATTGGCTGGAGTATTTTAGTGTATTCATAGTATTGGTTCGAGTAAATATCTGCTTTTAATATATAGATGAAAAAAGAAAATAATAGACAAAAGCACAACATTTGAATGTGGAACTGCTATTTAAGTTTTTGAAGAAAGTTTCAACATGATGAAAATTTTGAAACTGTAGGCCTATACTTTTTAGTTCTTAGATAAATGTACGTCACATGTTACTTTTAATCAGGGGTCTTATTGTCACACTTGTGGGAGTGGACAGCAATTTGATATCTAAGTGACCACATCCTCCGGTCTCACAAGGGCTTCAAATGACTTAATTCGGCCCGTTGTACGGATGGGGATTGACGTATTTTATACAACATATACATGGATTTATATTTTGTTTTAAACTGAATAAAAAATGTTAATTATTTTACCATGTTTGTTTGTTAGTTTACACCAGTTTATTGCTGTTTTATTCTGTAACTGCCTTTCCGGTACTTAACTTTAATTAAAAATATGAACATTAATTAATTCTAATATTAAAATATGAACAGTTGTGCAATTTTACTCAATCACTGGTGGATCAACGTTGGTTGAGGAACTAACACTTTTTTCACCGCATATGGTTCTCATTAGAACGTCCTTACTAAAGGAATAGTGAAATGGTGAAATGTTTCTGACGGAAAAAATGCAAAAGGCTTTTACGTTTCATAAAGATGAGAAGTGGCCATCTGTTTCAATAACAAGTGGGCAGATGATATCTGATATGTGGAAACACTAAAAACTCTATTCAAAATGAACAGCTTCATCAAGTATAAATGAGAAAAAAATCATACGGAATGCGCACGCAGTAATTCGATAATTTTCGATTTTATATATATATATTGTGAAATTCCTTTGCATTGTAAATATTTACAATAGGCAGTTATTTATGTCGAACAATAGCATTTATAATCTCTCTTATAATAAAAACGTTAAGTTTTAAAATCTCAACGGTTCTAATTGGGTTTCAATTCTAAATAAGAAAATTAACTTACTTTTCCCCGACCCACACTTTACCAGGCACGGGTGAGGGGCGGTATATCGAGGGCTCTTGGTCCAAAGGTTTATTTTAAAAATGCTCAAAAAAAAAAAAAAAAAAATATATATATATATATATATATAAATATATATATATATATATATATATAAATATATATATATATATATATATATTTTTTTTTTTTTTTTTTTTTTTTTTTTTTTTCGTGGCTCTGTTCGTTGAACATTAGCACATTCCTGACCGAAGAACAGGCCCCTCTGGGCAAGCATGCCGAAATCAATACTTTGCAAAACACGGAACATCGATTAGACTAAATCAGACTGAACGAAACTAATAATGGTTATTGATACGTCTATATATATTTTACGTCTTTGAAATTCCATAAAAATATTTAAGAAGATTTGGCATAATTTTACATTATATTATGTCATTCATCAAAGCATTTCCAAATTTGTCAGTTATTCCTTGAAGTATGTATTTCTTTTTCGTCAGGTTATTATTATAGGAGATTCAGGTGTAACTGAGGCATTACACACCTTACCGAAAGTATTAAATGCTTTTAAAGTCTCAGTTAACACTAATATTAATCTCTGAGCCATTATGACTGTCTTTTGAAGGAAATGACAGACGATATCAATCACAACCCAACACTACAACGTTTTGTGATTTATGGCATCCGATTCGTGATTTCCGTGAAATAATTAATGTCAGTGTTAAATGTAATTCATCTTGTTCGTATAACATTAAAAAATAACATAAGTATTACCGATCAGATTGCCAAAGCTGGTATATTGGACGCAGTATCAGAAGCACCATTGCAATACAATCTACTGCGTGCAGACATGACGTTGGGGTGAATTTAACATAATTTTAATGCAGGAGTTATGTTTGTTAAGATATTTTTTTAGATACAAAAATAACCTTAATTTGATGGACACAAGGTGTGCTCATGGTCTTTGGATTTTGGGGTCATTACCATTAAAAACACCGTTTTTCGGAGATCGATCCAAATTTCGGGGACTCTTGCTGAATTACGCAATCAGATTGGAGATTATAACACGCCCCTCTTGTTTCCAATTTACGTGTGTAATCACCAGCTTTTTTATCATTCTACTCAATATCAGGTGGATGCTTGTCAATCTGTCACTCAGTTAATGTGATTGCATTCAGCGAAAAACCCTGCAGAAATGGATCTAGCTATGAAGAACAATAGTTTTATCGGGAATGAGCCCTTATTTGGAATTTAATCTACCATTTCCTCTATGCTGTAGTGTCACATGAATATATGACTAACAGCTTCAGTTAGAAACATAACAGATCGATAGAAACAGACAGTTCTTTATCAACGAAACAAACTGGTCCTTCAGAAGAGTAGATCGCCCTAATGCATTATCATACATGAACGCTTTAATCAGACAGGATTTAAGTCGTTAATCTGAAAAACAATTGAGCAACAAGTTCACCCGATAGGCTGTTTCCGTCATGCTGCTCACAGGACAGGGCGTTCTAAAGGGTGCTGTATTGTGTTTAGCAGTCCAGGTGAANCACGCGTGTTTTTCCAGGTTCTTCAACACATTTCGCACACTGGTGTGGTCCATTTTTGGCTTGGGTGACTCCAGTTCCGTAAAAATCCACATGAAGCACGAGTTTGTGGAGATCGTGGGATTCATCATGGTGGCTATATTCCATATTGTCATCGTTATAATGCTGATGAATATGCTCATTGCCATGATGACAATCTCTTTTGAAGCTATTAATGTAAGTTATGAGATGTTGAAATGGATAAATGGATATTGTCTAATAGATTCGATTTAATAATAATAATAATAATAATAATAATAATAATAATAATAATAATAATAAATGAAACGGAGCAGTAAAATACGGTATATAATCCCTGTAACTAAAATTATGATAAAAGAAGTACTATCAATTTTTTTGGGTAAAACGGCCTCTATTGAAGCCATCAATGTAAGTTATGGATGTTGAGTAGAATATTTATATATAATGCATTTTGCCTGATAAAATATTCCAATAAACATAATAATAATAATAATAATAATAATAATAATAATAATAATAATAATAATAATAACTTGGAACAGTTCACATATTGCGATAAGTGCTGTGTTTCTAAATTGCAGGGGTAGCTGACAGAAAAGACCCAAAAGAACATCCAAGAGCTGGATAGATTCACATAATAATAATAATAATAATAATAATAATAATAATAATAATAATAGTTAACCAAGAGGAACAGTATTATACATTATCTCCGTAATTAAAGCACCAACTTCCTGCTTCCTACACCAAACATGCTGTAATTCCTTAATTCTATATCTTTACAGGACGACGCAGACATCGAATGGAAGGTTGCCAGGACAAGGTTATGGTTAGAGTATATAGGGGAAGGATCTACTCTCCCCATCCCCTTTAACTTAATCCCCAGCCCCAAATGGTTGTTTTTTCTTTTTATCAGAAAGAAATGCAAGGGACCCAGTGAAAAGGTGCTTTATGACTTTAATCAATTTAAAATGATTGAAAATAAATAAAGATAATGCTATTTGAAAGGGGCGATGTTCTATCTCGAATCATACACATGGCTTTTACTGTCATATCAAGGTTAACATATAGTAATTTTTCTTCACTCACGGCTAATATATTGACGGCTAGTACTACCCCCAATATTTCGATTTCCTTCAGAATATCGGCATGGAGGCTATACCCAGTCAAATAGCAACTATTAATCCCCCCCTCACGTACTGTCTTAAGAAAGCCAGGCATAGATCGGGGAGAATGGAACCATTATATCTGTTGAGACTGACCCGTGTCTTCTGCATATGGCTTCCAGGACTTGCCTGCGTGTTCTCTAGGTTCACTGTCAATTAGCCGCGGCCATTGTTTATATTTTAAGGCATTCTAACATCTTTTTGCTTCAGGAAATTAATGGAAAGGATAAAAAACGGCGCCACTTCGACATTAGATATCGGGCCCTCATGGCTAAGCTTATAGCAAGGTACAGCAAGAAAGCAGCAGAGGGAGAGAAAAAAAAATGATTTGACACCAACACAGACGGAGGGACCAACAGGTACTCGTGAAAGAAAATATCGAATTGGGAATGAGTTTCTTTCTGCATAAAATCATCATGTCCCTGATTGTACGGGTGCTCTCTGGCATATTACACGTTTCATGTTATACACAATACGCAGTATTGCAATAATGTAAACTACTGTTACTTAATTTTCTTTCAAAATGGACTAGAATTTCGTTCTGAAAGCCAACTCCAACTTTTTGGTCGAAAGTTTTGTTTTATAGTTTCAAACTCATTCTTACTGTACAGTGTAGCCATTTATCGTAAAGTAAGGATATATTATCTTGTGTAACTGACCTCTACCATTTCTACCCATTTTTCTTTCAGCCAATGGAAGAGCGGGTTGAAGAAGACTCTACATCTTTTATGGTCAAAGTTTATGCTCTGTAGTCTTGATATTTAGCAACTTGTAGTATTTACATTATGGTAATTGCTTTTAAGAATTGCGTTTATATCATTTATGGATTATGGTCCAGTTTGGTTTAGAATTAGATAAAGTAATTTTAATTTAAGTTTAACTCTTTGTGAATGTGCTCCTTGTGAAAGATTTTTTAGCTGTTTATGCAGCGATACCATTGTACATTATCCATCGATAACACTCGCTCCTATTGTAAGCATGCGTTTTTCATGCTTTTACTTTATTGGCTGGTGTATTTTAGTGTATTCATAGTATTGGTTCGAGTAAATATCTGCGTCTCATATATAGATGAAAAAAGAGAAAAAATACAAAAGCACAACAACTGAATGTTGAACTGCTTTTTAAGTTTTTGAAGAAAGTTTCTACATGATGAACATTTTGAAACTGTATGCCTATACTTTTTAGATTTCAGGTGCACCATATGTTACTTTTAATCAGGTGTCCAACGCAGTGATACCGTTACACTTGTGGGAGTGGACAGCAATTTGATCTCTAAGTGACCACAATCCCACAAGGGCTTCAAATGACATAATTCGGCCCGTTGTACGGATGGGGATTGACAAATTTTATACAACATATACATTGATTTATATTTTGTTTTAAACTGAATAAAAAATGTTAATTTTTTACCCTGTTTGTTTGTTAGTAAACACCATTTTATTGCTGTTTTATTCTGTAACTGCCTTTCCTGTACTTAACTTTAATTAAAAATATGAACATTAATTAATTTTAATATTAAAATATGAACAGTTGTGCAATTTTACTCAATCACTGGTGGATCAACGTTGGTTGAGGAACTAACACTTTTTTCACCGCATATGGTTCTCATTAGAACGCGCTTACTGAAGGAATAGTGAAATATAGTGAAAGATCTCTGACGGGAAAAATGCAAAAGGCTTTTACGTTTCATAAAGATGAGAAGTGGCCATCTGTTTCAATAACAAGTGGGCAGATGATATCTGATATGTGAAAACACTAAAAACTATTCAAAATGAACAGCTTTACAAAGTAAGATTGAAAAAAAAATCATTAGATTTTTTATATAAATATTGTGTAATTCCTTTGCATGGTAGACATTTACAATAGGCAATTTCTTATGTCGAACAATAGCATTTAAAATCTCTCTTACAACAAAAACGTTAAGTTTTAAAATCTGAACAGTTCTAATTGGATGTCATTTCTAAATAAGAGAATTAACTTACTTTTCCCCGACCCACACTTTATCTGGCACGGGTGAGTGGCGGTATATCGTAGGTTCTTGGTCAGAAGGTTTATTTAAAAAAGGCTCAAATTTAAAAAATGTTACATATATATACAAATCCCGATGGTTCTATTCGTTGAACATTAGCACATTCCTGACCGAAGAACAGGCCCCTCTGGGCAAGCATGCCGAAATCAATACTTTGCAAAACACGGAACATCGATTAGACTAAATCAGACTGAACGAAACTAATAATGGTTATTGATACGTCTATATATATTTTACGTCTTTGAAATTCCATAAAAAAATTTAAGAAGATTTGGCATAATTTTTCATTATATTATGTCATTCATCAAACCATTTCCAAATTTGTCAGTTATTCCTTGAAGTATGTATTTCTTTTTCGTCAGGTTATTATTATAGGAGATTCAGGTGTAATTCAGGCATTACACACCTTACCGAAAGTATGAANCCCCCCCCCCCTGCCCCCCGAGGCAGGCCTGCCGAAATCAATACACACGCACAACACGGAACATCGATTAGACTAAAGCAGACTGAACGATGATAATAATGGATATTGATACGTCTATATATCTTTTACGTCTTTGAAATTCCATAAAAAAGTTCAGAAGACTTTGCATAATTTTACATTATTTTATGTCATTCATCAAAGCATTTCCAAATTTCTCAGTTAGCCCTTGAAATGTGTATTCTTTTTCGTCAGGTGATTATTATAGAAGATTCAGGTGCAACTGAGGCATTACCCACCGTGTCGAATGTGTGAAATGCTTTTAAAGTTTCAATTAACACTAATATTAATCTCTGAGCCATTATGACTGTCTTTTGAATGACAGACGATATCAATCACAACCCAACACTACAACGTTTTGTGATTTATGGCATCCGATTCGTGATTTCCGTGAAATAATTAATGTCAGTGTTAAATGCAATTCATATTGTTCGTGTTACATAAGTATTACCGATCAGATTGCCAAAGCTGGTATATTGGACGCAGTATCAGAAGCACCATTGCAATACAATCTACTGCCTGCCGACATGACATTGGGGGTGGATTAAACATAATTCTAATGCAGGAGTTATGTTTGTTAAGGTATTTTTTAGATACAAAAATAACCTTAATTTGATGGACACAAGGTGTGCCCGTGGTCTTAGGATTCATTACCATTAAAAACGCCGTTTTACGGAGATCGATCCAAATTTCGGGGTCTCTTGCTGAATTACGCAATCAGATTGGAGATTATAACACGCCCCTCTTGTTCCCAATTTACGTGTGTAATCACCAGCTTTTTTATCATTCTACTCAATGCCAGGTGGAGTCTTGTCAATCTGTCAATCAGTTAATGTGATTGCATTCATCGACAAACCCTGCAGAAATGGATCTAACTATGAAGAACAATAGTTTTATCGGGCATGAGCCCTTATTTGAAATTTAATCTACCATTTCCTCTATGCTGTAGTGTCACATGAATCTGTGACCAACAGCTTCAGTTAGAAATATAACAGATCGCTAGAAACAGAAAGTTGCTCATCAACGAAACAAATCGGTCCTTCAGAAGAGTAGATTGCTATAATCCACGATCATACATTAACGCTTTAATCAGACAGGATTTAAGTCATAAATCTGAAAAACAATTGAGCAAAAAATTTACCCGATAGGCTGTTTCCGTCATGCTGTTCACAGGACAGGGCGTTCTAAAGAGTGCTGCTTTGGGTTTAGCAGTCCATGTGATGGTAGCAGTGACCCTGGTGCAAGATCATTGTCTGCCACCCTGTTCTTGTCTCAGCGTCAAACTAGATGGGATACTGGGAATCCAGACTTATTGCAAAGATATACGGACAATTCCAACATTTGTTAACAAAAGTGTCATCCTGATGCTCGCTATGTCCGGAGTTAAACTGAAAAACACGACAGCGCTGGGTGACTTGAAAAACCTAAGATCGCTCTCATTGTACGGCACTTTCCTTGAAAAAGTGCCGTCACAGGTGAGAGGATTGGTTCATATTTTCAGCCTTGTTCTCTCCATGAATTGGATACGCGATGTCGAACCTGGATTATTGCAAAATCTTCAGCGTCTTGAAACTTTGTCTTTCATGAGGAACAGACTCACGCAGGTGCCCTTCGATATTTGATACCTTACCAGTCTTGAGCGTTTACACTTGGCCGACAACTCAATTAGAGCAGTAGATCCGCAAGCCTTTCAGAATCTCACCGTTTTACGGGATCTTAATATGGATGGCAACTTACTTAAAGAGGTTCCACCTGGAATAATGTATTTAAGAGACTTGCAATATCTGTTTTTAAGAAATAACTTCACCCGTCTTCTTAACTTTTCTCTTTTCCGCAGTCTAAAAAATCTTGAAAAGCTGTTTTTGTCTGGGAACATATTGATAAGCATACCACCAGATATGTCATTGTTAGCACAGCTTGATTTGTCAAATCTCAGTCACCAGGATTCAGAATCTCTAAATAAATGTCCACTTTTTCAGATCAGTGTAAACTCTAAAAATACATTGCATCTAAACTTTGGACCCGGTGATAACTTGGACTGTCGTTGCAACGCGTCATTTTTAAAACACTTGGCGCATGAAGAGGAAGGAACGTGTGTAAACATCCATAAGAATATCAAGAAAACAGACAGAGAAAACGGTATGCCAACAGTCGTGGTAGTTGGGGTGTTTTTAGCTGTGTTGATCCCCGTAGTGGCGGGAGTAACGCTGTTGTGCGTTTGCAAGAGAAGACAGGACCGATCTCGAAAATCCTCAACGGTACCAAACAGTATTCCACACCCGGTCCCCAGTATCAGTAAAGCCCCCTTTACACTGGACGGCGTCCTCTCTGCGTCCAGCAGTACGGCCCTATTTGAGAGTTAAAAAATTATAATACTTTACGTGCCGACAACTTGCTGTTCATTGAGCATTCATTCTGATACAAAATCCATGCTCGTGCCTCCTTATTAAGACCACAGCGTTGCCAAATTTCATGGTCGCAGAGAGGACGCAGAAAGGACGCCGTCCAGTGTAAAGGGGGTATAAAGCAGACGATATTCCACCTCCGATTCCCAGTATCAGTGACGATAACCTGGACATTTATGACACAATATATGATACAATATATGATGACGGCCATAATGAAGAAGACATTTATTGTACAATTGATGATTTTATTTGAGTCCTGCTTGTGTTAACAATATAGTATCTCCTTATTATCATTTGACATGCATACGCTGCTTGTTGGTTTCCATGGGTCAACGATAAAAGACTCGTCGGGCAGCTGTAACATTTACATGTATGTTAGCCATTAAGATAGCCCGTAACTTTTGTTTTGTTCATGATTTCATTTACGGTAGTCTACAAAGATAATGCTGTACTTTGTGCAATATATATGTTATATTATTTGTATTCTTTTACCCAAGTTAAACAACTGCATGTGGTTTGGAGTTGTAGGGGTGGGGTTAGTATGGACTGCCCTTTTTTGCTGGCTAATGTCCACTCTCGATTAAAATTCTATCTAGATTTTCTGCCATTTCTAAGGATAAACAGTTTGGCAAAATAAACCTTTGTTTCAGAAAAAGCCCCGCCTTTTCAAAGTGATTGCTACTACCGGTTACCCTAGGTTCCAGAGACCGGTATTGCCAGCACGATCTTGATTGCATATATAACCCATATCAGCAATACCCGGTCCAGCGAACAGCGGCCATTTTAGATTTCCGTCAATCAAATAGAACTGCTCCGCAGTGAATCTGCAGTTGAATGTCATCAGACCAAAATGAAACATAAAACAGATAAATAATATGTTTCTAGGGGAAGGTAAGATGGCTGACGGGGCGGAGTACGTGGTTTGCTGAGCTGCGGGAATTTGCCATCGGATCAAGGGATGCACGCACCAGAAAAAAAAGTACGGGGTGAGTGACAGTATCGTGAAGACACCGTGCATCGATGGAAATATTTGACTCAAACTATACTTTGTGAAAAGACCGTTTTTTTGGACTTCTTTGAATTGATGATATTCGATGACCTTAGTTGCATACGCTGAGAACTGCTTACAAACTCATGCGAACACTTCGCAATACCGAGAAAGCCCAATAGCCCTGTTAACCACAATTACAATAGCCATCTTACAAGTAGTCATTACGATCGTGGTCCAACTATTCAAATATGAGTGTAACCAGCAAGGCGAAAGGCCATGACGCGACGCACTCGGAATCAAGAACAAAACGCCTCTTTTCTGAACTTTCCAACTCTAGTGGGGAAGAGTCGCCTCTTATAATGAACGAATTAACGGAAATCAAAACTGAATTAAAGAAAACAATAAAAAGTGAAGTGGGAGAAGTAAAATGTATGGTAGAAGAAATGATGAAAAATATGACGGAAATGATAGAGTCGAGGCTATATATTAGAGTTGGAGAA